CACCTTCCCTATGGGTTGAAGCAGGTACGTATTACGTAGAATTTGCACACCCGAGAAGACGGATCAAATACTCACAGAGTGGCTAAGGGAAACATATCTAGCTAGAGCGAGCCATATGTGAGAAAAGGATTTATACTTATTGCCAACATATGGCGCGCGTCCTCACCCATTGACGTTCGCAGCGCATCTACTTGAACGAATAATGCCTGAAGGTGCGCTCGCCGCATTCCAGATGGTTGCGGGTATCCCTGCTGGCGTTCTACTTGAAATCGAAACAGCGCAGTGAAGTGATCTGTTTCGCGTGACATCGACATGCGCGTGGAGACTTTCTTGTCCGAGTCGTAGCTCGAACGTGTCTTTGCCAAACACCTTGCCCCGCGAGTTACTCTGGCATGCCATTCTGTTCCATCGTACGCCGCCATAAGTTTGAACAACAAGCTTCCTGGATGCAGCTCTGAAATGTGTAAATAGATTCCGTTTCTAGCCGGTTCCACCACTGAACGTAGCTTTTTGGCCAACCTAACCTCGTTTTTGGTAGACCGCCACATATGGTGGAACGGAATGCGGCTTACGCGCGCAAGTTCAGCACAACCTTGGCAACTTTTGCAACACTTTCGCCGCGAATCCTCTCCGATCGGGCCATCATGTATGAACCGACGCAAGGCTGCAACATCACTAAGTGCTAATATGCGCTTGTTCCTCTATTATTCGGCATCTGTACGCGCCACCTCGATAAAGCCAACAATTGAACGCACACGATTGGCCGTGGAACCCTTCAATTTTGAACCAAATCGCTACGGACACTCCTGGAAACGTGCACAAGAAGGCGGGCCGCTGAAGTCCTCATTGCTTTTTTTTTATTGTTCACTGCCCTCGTCATCGGGCCCCTCGGGCTGTCATTGGACATCTTTGTGCATGGCATCACATGGAATTCCAAACGGGGGCGGGAGCTCCAACTCTGAATAATTGTGACGAGCGTCTGCAGCGGTTACGTCTACTCGCGAATGCTATTCCAGAGATAGGCACATGCCATGGTTGGCAGGTTGAGAAGAGGTGTAGAGAAGAACGTACTAAAGAAGAAACGCTCTATCAAACAGTGCTCCTGAGCACGTACATATACATATGTGTGTGTATATTTATAGAGATTGATACACGCGCACACAACTGTATGCATGCATGTATGTATGTATATTTCCAAATATATGTACAATCATACGTAGCACCCCGCAGTTGTGGAACACAAGTGAGGGGGCGGGCGCGGTGCGGGTCGCGGGTGTGTCGAAGGGTGGGTCGCGGAACGCGGGTGGGTCGCGGGCGAGGACGACGACAACGCACCACAAAGCAAGTCAAATCCTCGCGGCGGAAGCTCTCTTCAGCCACGCACCCAGGGACAACGAATGCCCGTTCATTGTGTATGTATGTATGTGTGTGTTTATATATATATACATATGTTTATATATGCATATATGTATGTATGTATCAGCGTATATAAATGTACACAAAGGAACAATAAGACTGTGTATGTATGTATGCATGCTTGTGCACATATATATACATATATTTACACACACATATATATATATATTTATATATATATATGGATTTGTATGTATACGTATATGTATAGGTATATGTTTATGTATATATATATATATAGATGTGTGTGTGTGTTTGTGTATGTGTGTACGTATATATGCATGCATGTATGTGTATATATATACTGTATACACGTGTATATACACTATATTGGATTCCCCATACAGTGCTTGCATTTGCGGGTTCGTTCTTCTCTTAGTTCAAGTAAGTAGTTGGTATTCCTGGCTTTCGCCACGTTGCGGCCCGTGCCGCCTCCTGGGCGCCCCGCGCTTTGGGGCTATCTCGAGGTTGCGCCACGTCGCCGGCCGTGCCGGCTCGTGGGCGCCCCGTTCGCTGGGGGGTATGCCGAGGTTGCGCCACGTTGCCGCCCGTGCTGCCTCAGGGGGCGCCCCGCGCTTGGGGAGTGTGCCGAGGTTGCGCCATGTTGCCGCCTCGCGGGCGCCTCGTGGGCGCCCCGTTCGCAGGGGGGGTCTGCCGAGGTTGAGCCATGTTGCCGCCCGTGCCGCCTCGCTGGCGCCCCGTACTCTGGGCTCACACGACATAGAGTTCACCACGTAGCTTACACGACATAGCTTGCACCACATACCTTACACCGCACAGATGGCAAAACATGGCCCACATCACGTAGTTTACACCGCATAACTCCCACCTCCATTTCGCACCGCCTAGTTTACGCCACATAGCTTACACGGCATAGTTGTCACCTCCTCAGCTCCTACCACATACTTAACTTACACGACATAGCTTTCACACCATTTGCACCACACAACTTGCACCGCATATGCTACACATCGTAGCCGTCACCGCTCCGCGCTCGCGTGCGGGGATGTCCTCCTGCGGAGGGCCGTGGCGGCACCTCGATGTATGCACCACGCAGGCTTGGTCAGCCAGGAAGCTCGGCGCATAAGCGCCCCAGCGCCCCACAGGCCTGCGGGGCGCTGGAGCGCCCACGTGCACCCAACTCCTCCGCCGAGCTCCTTGCCCCCCTGGCCGACGGGACGACGGGGTGTCTCCGCCGCCCCGCGCGCGTGCGGGGAGGCTCTCCTGCGGAGGACCGCCAGAGTGTGTGGCGGCGAGTGTCCGTGCCGGGCACGCGGGCACGCGCGGCCACGCGCGCGCGCGCGCCCATGGGACCCGCTCTCGGCACGGCCTCGGGAAGCAGAGGTCGGATGGGGCCGTAGCCAATCACAAGTGGGGGAGGGAGGGGGGCGCAAAGTTGGCTGCGCTCGCACCACAGCTGATATCCGAGCCCTCCCGTCCCTTCCCGTTGCGCTGGATCCTTGTCTGTCTGCCGGCTGGGGTGTCCCATGGAGGGCCTTGATCCCCAATTGGCAGGTGCAGATTTGATCCATCGTTTGATGTGCAAGTGGCCACGTTGGGTTTTGCACATTGGAGGAGCAGGCGGATAGGCAGGATTAGCAGGAACAAGAGGAGGAAACTAACGGAGGAGAATGAGGAGTATGATTCCCCAATCAGAGCTTGCCTCTGTAGGGGTCCTAGCGGATTTAAGGGTAGGTGAGGTGTGCCGCCGATTCGGTGGCCAGGCCCGGGTGCCCGGGTGCCCGGGTTTGCCGCCGATTCGGTGGCCGGGCCCAAGTGCCCGGGTGCCCGGATGCCAAGGTGCCCGGGTTCGCCGCCGATTCGGTGGCCGGGCCCGGGTGCCCGGATGCCCGGGTGCCCGGGTGCCCAGGTGACGGGTGCCCGGTGCCCGGGTGGGTGCCTGGGTGCCGGGTGCCCGGGTGCCAAGGTGACGGGTGCCCGGTGCCCGGGTGGGTGCCTGGGTTCTGGGTGCTGGGTGCCCGGGTGCCCGGTGCCCTGTAGCCCTATAGCCTTACAGCCCTACATCCCTATCGCCCTATAGCCCTATAGCCCTATAACCCTACAGCCCTATAGCCCTATAGCCCTATAGCCCTGTAGCTCTATTACCATATAGCCCAATAGCCCTATAGCCCACATAGCCCTATAGCCCTACAGCCCTAAAAAGATTATGATTGGGGTTTTTCTCCGGTATCATTATGAGTATGAGCATGAGTATGAGTGTGAGAATGAGGAGGAGGGGGAGGAGGAGGAGGAGGTGGAGGAGCAGGAGGAGGAGGGGGAGGAGGAGTTTGATCAAAAGGACAAAAGGACAAGGATGATCAGGACGACCAGGGGAAAGCGACGGATGGGAAAAGACACGGATGGCAAACGACGAAGGAGTCGTATCCGGCAATGCGGCCGCGTTGAGGCGAGAGCACCACTCTTAACGACGGGACCAACGCACCGATCGTGAAATGTTGCCAAAACTGCAACAGGAGAGCTGTTTCTTCGAACAGCAGAACAATACGTTCCGATTCAACCAGCCAATCGAACCAACAAGGTCATGACATCTGGGGTGAGGGGCTACACGGGATGGGCGGAGGCCACGTCTGAACATAGACGGGGGAGAGAGGACAGTAGCACTCAGCTTGGATACCCGTGGAGCGAATAGAGGGACAGGAAGCCAGGAGAGGGAAGAGTACGAGGAGAACCAGGACGGACAGGACGAGGATGACAGTGACGATGATGCTGCTGAAGATGTTGAGGGTGATGGTGATGGTGATGATGGTGATGTTGATGGTGATGACGGTGACGGTGACAGTGATGATGATGAGGATGATGATGGTGATGCTGCTGCTGCTGCTGATGATGATGATGATGATGATGCCGATGACGATGATGATGCGGATGCTGATGCTGATGGTAATGATAATGCTGGTGCTGACGCTGGACATACTGATGATGATACAATGTCGGTTCTGATGGCGACACTGGCGAGGACAATTACGATGAGGAAGAACAACTATGTCAAGGACAGTCGTGCCAACTGTGGTGACGGGGAGGAGAGGTATAAGCAAGATGTGGCTAACGACAACGAGGAGGAGCAACACAGGTGGATATCAAATCATGAGGATGATCATCATGCGGATGATGATGCGGATGCTGATGGTACTGCAGCTGGCGGTGAGGGTGCTAATGATGGTGGTGATGATGCTATGCTGATGCTGATGGTGATGCTGCTGATGATGCTGATGTGATGGTGAGGGTAGCGTAGTGATGGTGGCGATGACGATGCTGATGCTGATGTGATGGTGTGGGTAGTGTTGTGATGGTGGCGGTGATGATGCTGATGCTGATGCTGATGCTGCTGATGATGAGGATGATGATGAGGATGATGATGCGGATGGTGATGAGGATGAGGAGGATGGTGATGGTGATGGTGATGATGCTGCTGATGATGATGCTGATGATGATGCCGATGATGTTGATGATGATGCTGAGGAGGAGGATGGTGATGGTGCTCATGATGATGATGATGATGATGATGCTGATGATGATGATGATGATGATGATGATGATGATGATGACGGGCAGTGGCAACGCTCCTCGCGCCATGGCGGGGGAAGCGACTCTTCGAGCTCGGCGAGCGTGCGGAACAGGGCGGGCGCCATCTTTTGCCTCTTCGCCCGGCCCTCCGCCATGGCCGCGCAGCGACGAGAGTGGGCACGGAGGTCGACGAGGAGGCCGAGTACAGTCAACCCGTACGGCAAGGACGCACGATGAGGATGCAAGGGCCTTGGAAGGCCATGTCGACACTTTACGAGCGGGGCGCGGCCAGCGAACGCGGCCAGGGATGGGCCGAAGGGGAAGGATGCAAGGGCAACCTTGAAAAGCTGCTCATCCTTGCTATGTCTTACTCTGCGGGTTGACTGTAGGTCGAGGAACGTTTTGGGACCGCGGCGAGGTGGACCCTGCAACCGCTCGAGCCGAGTGGTGGGGGCGTGTCGGTAGCGGCTTGAGGCACGAAGGCCTCGGAAGGCAGAAGGAAGAAAGGAGCAGGAGGAGGAGGAGGAGAAGGAGGAGGAGGAGGAGGAGGAGGAGGAGGAGGAGGAGGGGAGGATGGGGAGGGGGGAGGAGAGGGAGGAGGAGGGAGGAGGAGGAGGAGGAGGAGGAGAGGAGGAGGAGGAGGGAGGAGGAGGAGGAGGAGGAGGAAGGAGGAGGAGGAGGAGGAGGAGGAGGAGGAGGAGGAGGAGGAGGAGGAGGAGGAGGAGCGAGCGAGCCGCAGGAGAGGCGTCCGAGTGACGAACACCAACCGCGTGTGAGACCTGAGAGCCACAGGGGTGGCGGAAAAGGCGAAAGCCTGGGAGAGGGTGGGGCGCCTCAGGAAAACCACACCCTAAAACCTCCCAGGGTCCAAAGAGCAACACTAGGGGGCAGGGTTCGGGCCAGAACGCGCCGCACCTGCCCCTCGCTGGCGGGGCTCCAAGCCACGGGTGATTCTGTCGATCGCCGTGTGCTGGTTAGCCCGTGTCTTTGGATTCTCCGAAAACCCTTGGCACAACGCCCGCAGTACCCGACGCCAGGCCGAGGAACACGAGAGGAGGAAGGAGGAGGAGGAGGAGGAGGAGGAGAGAGGAGGAGGAGGAGAGTAGGAGGAGGAGGAGGAGGAGGAGGAGAGGATGGGGAGGAGGGGGTGGAGGAGGATGAGGACGAGAGGAGGCAGAGGAGGAGAAGGAGGAGAAGGAGGCGGGTCAGGAGGGAGGAGGAGGAGGAGGAGAGGCAGGAGGAGGAGGAGGAAGGAGTAGGAGAGGAGGAGGAAGAGGAGGAGGGGGAGGAGGGGGGGAGGAGGAGGATGAGGACGAGGAGGGGCAGGCAGGAGGAGGAGGAGGAGGAGGAGCGGGGCAGGAGGAGGAGAAGGAGGAGGAGGAGGAGGGAGGAGGAGGAGGCAAGCGGAGGAGGTTTCCTCCCTCCGCTCTATTTTTGTCGGCCTCCAGGCTACTGAAACTGCAGCCTACCTCCGTGGGACAGTCAGCTGGGCGATTCTGCACCCTCTCGCTTGGCCAAGGCCTGCAGCCCAAAAAGGCTGCGGGATGACAATAACGATGATCCTACCCTCCTACCCCTGCCCTTGCCCTGCCCCCCGGACCGCCCACCTCCGCTATCCTATCCTCCCTCACTACCACCAGTATTATCACCACCTCCTTCCTCACTCCCCCTTCACTCCCGCCTTCTCCTCCTCCTCCTCCTCCTCTTCCTCCTCCTCCTCCTTCACTTCTCCTCCACTGGCGGCGCGCACCAGGGGGTAGCGTGAGGGGGGAAGGCTTCTCAGAAGGCTGCTGGCCTTACGCCTATATATATATATATATCGTATATATATATATATATAGAGAGAGAGAGAGAGAGAGAGAGAGAGAGAGAGGGCCCCTCCTCCCTGACTCCCCCTCCCCTCCTCCGCTATCTCATTTTCTGCCTGCCCAGGCCAACATCACCACCGCCGCACTCGCAGCACCGCCTCGCCCCCCTCGCGCTCCACCGCCCGGGACGCGCTCTCTCTCTCTCTCTCCGCTGCCCGCTGCTCTCCCCGGCGGCAGGGCGCCGCAGGGGGAGGGATGGGGGGGCCGGCCGCGCTCGCTCGAAGTGCCGAGGCCTTCAGCGCCGAGGTTCCGAGGGCGAGGAGGTCCAGGCTGGAGGGGAGCAGGCAGAAGGAGAGAGGAGGAACGGGGCAGAGGAGGATGGTTCGGAGGATGACGATGAGGGAGGAAGAGGAATAGTAGTAGTAGTAGTAGTAGTAGTAGTAGTAGTAGTAGTAGTAGTAGTAGTAATAATTATGATAGTAATAGTAATACTAGTACTAATAATATGAATATAAATCGTATTATTGTTATTAATAATATTAATAATACTAATAATAATCATAATAATAATAATAGTATTAATAATAATATTACTACTACTAATGATAATACTACTAATAATAATAAGAATACTAATAATATTATTAATACTAATAATAATAATTCTAATAGTAGTAGTAATAATAATAATGATAATAATAATAGCAAGCCGTTTTCTGAAGAGGCGGTACAGGATGGAGGGGAACAGGAAGGTGGAGGAGAGAGGAGGAACGGGGCAGAGGAGGATGTTTCGGAGGATGACGAGGGAGGAAGAGGAAGAAGAAACCGTTTTCTGAGGAAGAGGCAGTCCAGGATGGAGGGGCGCAGGAAGGTGGAGGAGAGAAGAGGAATGGGGCAGAGGAGGATGATTCAGAGGATGAGGAGAGAGGAGGAAGAGGTCGAGTTCCGAGGAAGGCGGTCTAGGATGGAGGGGAGCAGGAACATGGAGGAGAGAGGAGGAATGGGGCAGAGGAGGATGATTCAGAGGATGACGAGGGAGGAGGAAGAGACCGAGTTCCGAGGACTAGGTCTATGATGGAAAATGACTGAATGAATATCTCGTGGAGTCCTGCCGATGGTACCTCTTGCCTCGGATTAAACTCCTTGGAAAACCAGCTTCGGGAATGAAGAAGTCTGAGTCGGATCGCTTCGTATCCACCCTGAGCATCTGACTAGCCAGCGCGCTCCGCAAATCGGCACTGACCTGTCCTTGAAAACCCCTTTTTCGGCACGCGGCCACATGGGGGCAAGCTACAAAAGCACGGGGCGTCACCCGCCACCCTCACTCCGACCGAGCTTCCCCCGACCCTTCCCTCTGCTTTTGGAGCACGCTTTGGGCCTAGGGGCAAACATTAGCCTGGCGGAGGACACAACCAAATGCAGATGTGAACAGCGCAGTTGTGAATATCGTCGTCGGTGGAGCTCCCTACGGGGCCACGATGCGTGTGAGGGATGTGCTGACATTGGCGCGGTGGACGCATGCGAACACAGCCACTGGGGAGGGGTCATCGGGATCCTGTAATATTCGTCATTCTTGGCTTTTTCAAGCTTGAGTATGGGGGAAACCTTAAGCAGGAGCCTCGTCTGTGAGTGAGTTGCGAGGAAGTCTCAAGCGGGGGTCCCCTCCCTATGGGGCCCGCGTGTCATGCTACTAATCCTACGGGTCATTGGGATCCCGTGGTTGTCGTCACTTTTGGCCTTTGCGTGCTTGACCATTAGGGACGTCTCAAACGGGAGCCCCGTCGGTGGGTGACTTGCGAAGGAGTCTTAGGGGGGAGCCCCCCCCCTATGGGACCCGCGCCTCATGTTATTAATACCAGAGTGTCATCGGGATTCTGCAGTCGTCACTATCGGCCTGTTCGAACTTGCAAATGGAAGGTGTCTCGGGCGGGAGCTTCGTCTGTGAGTTACTTGCGAAGAAATCTCAAGCTCTAGCCCCCCTCCAGATCGGGCCCCGAACTCCTGCTAATAATCCGAAAGAGGCGTCGGAAACCCGAAAGTGTCGTCGCTTTGGGGCTCGCCAGCCCTGAATGTGGCAGAAATCTCGAGCGGGAGCTTCGTCTGTCACTGAATGGCGAAGACGTCTCGAAGGGAGCCCGAACGGTTCGCCTGTGAATTTCTCCGCGTGGGGCTTTGGCGGGCGCAACTTTGACGCCTGCATTTGCAAGAAGTCTGGGTGGCGGAAAACGAAGGCCGACGGGCTGCAACGAGCATGTCGCGACGCTGAAATGGCCGGCGACTTGCTATAGGGAGCCGAAATGTGCTGACGACGACGGCGAGGCCGAGGCGCGGGGGAAGAGCTCGCTCTCATGTTCAGGCCCAGCGGGCAGAAGCTCACGTGCCTGAGCTCGGGACAGCATGTCGTGGGCCGCTCGCAGCTCACCCTGATGCACGCGTCCTCCCTGACTTCCACGCGGTCGCAAGGTCAGACGCCGCGCCAGGGCGTCACCATCGGCTGCGCCAGGAGTGGGGGCGTTGGTCGCACGGGCATGTCGGACGAGCAGTGGGGGCTGCACCTCTACGTCATGTTCTCCCATGCCACCTGCATGCCGAACGTGCTGATCCTTCGGCCGCCCACGCGAGTTCCTGGAGCGCGGGCCGCCGGCTGCACTGCGCGCGCTGCCTTCCGCCTGAGCGCGGCCACAAATAGCTCGAGACCTGCGAGGTTATCTTCACGGCTTGCTCCCGCGCCCCAGCGGCTCGCGGGGTTGTCCCGACGGCCTGGCCTGCGGGATTGACCAACAAGCGGTGTCGCGATCTGGCCATCGGAAAACGCGCCCATGCCGGCCGTGGCGGCAACGGCGTCAAGGAACATCGACTTGCGTGCCCGTGCTGGAGGGGCGGGGCAGGAGGTGGATGGGGGAGAAAAGGCAGGAGGACGAAGAGGAAGCAGAGCAGAGGGCAGGGGGAGGGCCTCCGCCAGGGCGAGAAGGCAAAGGAAACTCGAGCTGAGGTAGCGGGAAGAGAGCCTCTGCACTCATAGGGACGACGATGAGGTTTACGTCCAAATCAATTAGTGTGGGAAGCGTCGCCCTCTCCCGCGCCGTGCAGGAAAGGGCCCCGCGACAGTCGTCTGTCCCCGTGGCGCTCTCTGACGGGCAGGGCCGAGGAACGGCCCCGGGAGGCCGAAAACTAAACCTCGGGGCCCCTCTCCCTCGGCCTTCCCTGGACGTGCCCTTACGCTTCTGGGCGTCCCCGCCGAGGCCTCCACGAGGCTCCAGAAAATGCTCCGAGCGTGCAAAACGACGCGCCTCTGCCTGGGGCCCCTCTCGCTTAAATCCTTCTCTGGACGTGCCCTTACGCCTCTGGACTCCGGACACTCCCGCGAAGGCCTTCACGAGGCTCCAGGCAATGCCCCGAGCGTGCAAGACAGATCGCCTCTGCCTCGAACCTCGACCCGCGCCCT